GATTATCTTCTTCTACCACTAGTGCATAAGCTTCAATGACTGCTGGAAGCGGATTCATGGCAAGAATCCGACTACGAACGGAATCAAAGTTGGGATCGAGTCCTCCCAAAAAATCGTACACACGTTCCACCTCAAGTGCTTGTTGGTGAAGAGCCACATCATCGGGATTGGTATGTTTGCAGGGACGGAGGCTGTCAATTTCCTGCCATATTATGTGTAATTTTTCGTAGAATACATTCACAGGTTCACCACTTTGAGAGGTGGTGACTGACTGACGACGGAGTTGGTACAACTTGGAGCTATTCTGTGTGACAGTATATGTCTTCCGAGCTGCGTCCCACACCGCATAAGCCGTTGAGCAGTGATCAAATAAGGCACGTACATTTTTGGTCATGGAGTTGAGGAGCCATGACTGCACCAAACAGTTGTCTTCATCCCAAGCTTCATAGCTAGGATCATCAATGGCAGGGGCAATCTTTTTACCATTAATGAAACCAGCCATACGACGAGCAGTGATGGCCAAGCGAACACTACGAGACCATGCAGGATAGTTGGACCCATCCAACTTATCAGGAGTAATTGGAGAGTAGTCATGAGAGGACCGGGGTGGTGGTGGTGTTGTGGAGTCGATCTTGGTGGAGTCGATTTTAGAGGAGTCGTCCGTGGAGTCGTTGATGGAGTCGTTGGTGTCACCCATGAGGTAAGTATATAAAAGGATGTAGAGGAAGAAATAGCTTAAAACTTCAGCAAATAAGAGCACACAAACAACTTGTGATGATCAAGACCAATTTTGAGGCAAGGCAAAGTATGAGGTAGGAATAATATAACAGCAAATTATGGGCAAGGATAGGTAGAGATTTAGGCAAGAACAAGGTTATGCAGAGGCAACCAAAATCGATTGCTCTGATACCATGCCAGATATAGTGTAATTGAGAGAATTGAGAATGTAGAACAAGAAGAACAAGATAGGTTTTGCAGAGAATTCAAATCTGCCAATTTTAATTACTTACTTGGTGAAGGGTTAGATATACAAGTATACAAGGTGATTATTAGTTACAAACAATGCACAAGACATGGAGGGAAACATGGAGAGTTTCCATCCCTAAAACAAGGAAGAAGAAAACAAGGAAAAGTAACAAGGTGGTAGACAAGCCATTTAGGGATGTCTATGTTTTGTCTTTGTCTTTACTAACACGTTAACCATGCTGAAGAATCTCACGCCATAGAGGTGAAGCTCTCGTATACAAAAACCAGGAGCAATAGTTGGAATTCTAGCTTTTCGTCAATGCTGAAGTTGGGCGTCAAGAGCAGCATCGACGCCGGGCTTCCAGTGATCGCAGACGGCGGAAAGATCGAGATTGAATTTGCAGGAATAGTGCAGCGGGGAAGAAATGAGTCGACTGTGGTCACAGATAGTATAAAGGAGGCTGTGTGTAAGGTTGTTGTGCCGGCAATGACTACGGTTAAGGTGAGGCTTCTGGCGACGGAGGCTTGGTGCGATGTTCCCTTCTCCTACTCCCAGCGCGACACCCTTACCACCGGACAAACAATTACCAGCGACAAGGATGACGGCGTTTACACCGGCGTCAATACCTTTGACTTCAACTTCGACACCAGAAAAGAAAAGCTTTAACTGTCCTGCAGGCAGTCATCCAATGATTGTGTTGCATATTGATGTCCTTTTTCTATAATAAGAAGTCGGTGAATAGCATCGAGTGCAAGGTTAAATACTGTTTATCATTTTTTATAAGTCAGTTTCTATTGGTATTTCTTACTTTTATTGCTTAGTCTTATTTTCAGTGAAATGAAGTAAGCTTTTATTTTGACCGAGTCAGTGTTTTAAATTTCTCATCATAGGTTATTGTCAATTTTAAAGAGGTCTATAAGATAATCATAGTTAACTTTTATTTTTAAATCAAATTATAATTATAATTAAAATAAAATAACAACCTCTTTCCTTCTCTCTCCCCCTTCCTGACCCACCTCCACCCCTCAGCAACCTTACCCACGATCCCCCCGCCAGCAACCCAGCCACACCATTCCCCTGTCAGCAACCCAGCCACCCTCCCCCACATCGTTCACCCTCCACCGCGCCCCTATTTGCCTTTAAACCCAAAAAGAGTTGCATAGAGAAACGAAAATCCCAAGTTGAATTCCAATAACTTTTTTCAAAAGCTTCAAACTTTTTCTAGGCCTTCTCTCATTAACAGCCACCACTAACAACAACATAGCTTAGAGAAACGAAAATCCCATGTTGAATTTTCTGACTTTACTTTGTGGGTTTTTTGTGATTGATAAAAGCATGGACTCTGCAATTCCATCAATGGTGCTGAGCCTCCCACTCATCGGAGGAACCATGGGTTAGATCTTTATAATTCTCAAGATGGTTTTTAGAGCAATTGAAAGTTGTATGCTTTAAAAAAAAAACAAAATATATATTGACTGATGCACAAGGTCCGCGGTGGAGGACCAGATGGATGATGTGCCGGAGGTGATGAAGGGAGGGAGCCAGATAGATAAATGTCAACTTTTTAAAAACAAAAGTTAACTGAATGCTGTTGGATATCTATCTACCTTTCTTTTTCTTTCCATATCACTTCTACATTTTGTCCCTTTGTGTGAATGTGATTGCACAGGTGTCTATACCCATGTTTTTCATCCTACCACATGGATTAGCTGGCAGGCTAACTTAAAGGCTTAATTCTTATTTTACCCCTAGAGTCCAATGTTGATCTCAACGGAGCCCACTTATTTGCCTATGTATTTGCCACATCAACAAAATTCCAAGTCTCAAATGGAATTCAAGGTGGATATATATATAATATATATATATATATATATATATAGAGAGAGAGAGAGAGAGAGAGAGAGAGGGGGTTGTTTGGGTGTGGCTTACGATGGACTGGGGGTGGGAGGAGGGAAAATTGTGGCGTTGCTGAGGCTTGCACTGTCAACACCGGCTGCTCAATCTCACAAATAAAGAAAATAGCAGAAATGGAAATGAAAGTAGGAAAACAGAGCATACAACACGGGAGAAAAAGAAGGGAAGAGAGCGAGAAAAAGAGGGGGAGTGGGGGGAGGGGAATCTCTATATATAAAACAAAAGGTAGAGAATGGTAAAACATTTAAAATACCAGAAAATATCCTTAGTTAATGCAAACACTAACCCTTTGGCATATGTGAGCATGTGCCAATTGGTTTTCTTTTTTCTTTTTTATTCTATTTTTAGAATTAAGAAAAGATAACATGGGTAGTTATGTTCCATAAAAGTAGGATCTATTATCTAATTTTGTTTTTATTTTTTATTTTTCTTAATATGAAAAAAAATGTGAATTTATCATATTATCCTCATTTAATTAATAATTTCAATTCTAAATTTTTTGAATTAACCAATGGTATTTTCTGGTATTTTGAATGTTCACCATTCTCTGCCTTTGCTTTATATATATAGATTAAGAATTGAAATTATTAAATAAATGAGGATAATACAGTAAATTCACACTTTTTCATATTTAAAAAAAATTAAAATTAAAGGAAAAATCATATAATTGATCCTATTTTTATGGAACACAACTACCCATTATCTTTTTTAATTCTAAAATAAATTTAAATTTTTTTTTTAAAAAAACCTCTTGCAGGCACAGAAGCTCGTGTTGAGAGGCTAGTAGAGAGAGAAAAAGGGAGAGAGATATGATATTTAATTTTAAGCAAACCGTTAAAAAAAAAAATTGAATTTAAACTATTTTAAAATTTGAATTTAAATTTTTTTTAATAGCTGAAATTACTAAAATATCCATGTTATGTCAGCAAGTTAACAGACTTGTTAACAGAATTAACGAAATGAGGCAAAGTGGGACACGGAGTAAGGTTCTAGAGGGTTACACGGAAAAATTTGAGTTTCAAGAGTTAAATTGAGATTGATATTCGAGTTTAGAGGGTAAAACAGAAATTTAACTATTAAATTAAGCCCAAACAAAGATACATGTATAACTTTTGAAGTCGTCGTGGTGTTAAAATGCATAAATCATTAGAATTCATATGAAGATTATTTCTAAATCAAGTGTAAAGGTTTACAGAAACTTCAGTACGTATTAATCTTCAAATTCGTCCTTACAATCTATACTCATCTTCCCAACCGCGAATTATAACCCTAGTTAGCCAATACAGGTAATCATCAGTAGCATTGTAACGAAACCAAAAGTCCATTCGAAGTTCGTTTGTGGTAACATCATGTACATTTGGAACCTTTACTGTGTTTCATTTACTTCCGTAATTCTTGGCTTGATGGTCAACAACAACTTCCACCTGATCAAAGTTCACCATAAGGTTGAGTTGGACAACTTCCTCATTGTTCTTATAGAAGGCTCGTCGTCTCTATATCTCCATCTCTTAAAAAACCAATTGGCATACGAGCGAGCGCGTGCTAAGGGGCTAGTATATATAATGTTATTGTTGTGTGATCTATAGCTCATCTTCTTTTCCCTTTATTTGTGGCTGGGTATTCTTCGTATATATGATGAATTTTACCACCTCAATAATTGATTGAAAATTCATCTTTACTCCTTGATGGTGGTAATACTGCATAAATCAATTTCAATATATGTTCAGAAAAAATACAATCATATAAAATTATTTAATTTTCTAAATTTTGAAAATATATTACACTTACCAATAAAACATTCATCTTTAAGTCTAATGTGGAAATACAACTATATAAAAATGTATATACCATATTAAAATTGTGTGACCTAATTGACTCACTGATTCATCTTCCATCAACGCATTTTCCTTGGTGGTGGATGAACCTAACCACCTAAACAATTGATTGAAAGTTCTCTCTGTCTCCTTCATGTCGGTAATACTGCATAAAGCATTTTCATATCTTTAGGAAACATTAAAAAATTAATTAAGGATGTCACAATAGCATAAGAAAAGTTTATTTCGGCTAATTTTCCAATGAAAGTCTATAGATCTAGAGCTATTGGGAAAAACAAAGGAATTAATTGAGGTTTTCAAAATTATGTAAAATAACTTCATATGAGCAGTTAATTTGATACCATGTCAGATGTTCTTCCATTAGATCTTGATCCCGTAATCAACGTTCCAATCCTCGAGTTCAAAGTGTATGCACACTCTCATCATCCACCCCTAGGGCACCAACTATTCGAACATTGTTAAGTTCTGAAGAAGCTCCAGTAGTTTTGCAAATCAATATGAGGAATAATATAGGAATAGCCATTAGTTCTGTCTGCAACTCCTCATGCTTAGTACAAGAGCTCCCAATTTCTCTAGGTTTTGGAGAAGAGGCCAATGGCGGGTCATGCGCATAAGTCACCAAAATGAGTTCTAGAAGATTGGTAAATTCTGTATCAAAATAACTTAAATGAGTATTTCAGGTGTGGAAGTAGAGGGTACTAATGAGAAGTTTATTTTTGAAGTACTGCTAGATATCTTGAGAGAGAGAGAGAGAGTGAGAGAGAGAGAGAGAGTGAGAGAGTTATAACGGCTAAAAAGCACAACAAATCAATACAAAGGAGAGAAGACATGAGTGTGGGTGTCTAAAGAGAGAATTGCTCTAGATTTATAGGGAAGAAAATTTCTCCTTTTATTTTTAGTAGATTATACAAGCTTCCTTCACATTCATTTACAGGAAAAATTAGGTGTCTAAATATAGAACTAAATGAGAGCTTTCAATTTATTTCCAAATTAAGAAATGTGTTGTAGCAAATTAAAGGAAAGTGAAAACAATATTTGACTTATATTTTCAAATTACATTTTTTTTTCATGAGCAACCATTTTCATCCAATGCACATGGCCTAGAAAGAGAGAGAGGCTCTAGATTTATAGGAAAGAAATTGTGTAATTTTGTTTTTGGTACAAAAGACAAGCTTCCTTAAATGTTATGTACATGAACAAAGATGTGTCTAGAAATAGAACTAAATGAGAGCTTTCAATTTGTTGCCATATTGAGAAAGTTGTTGTAGCAAATTAAAGGAAAGTGAGTTCAAATTTCAAATTACATATTTTTGATGGCTTATGTAACTATTTAACACTTTGGAAAAGATTGAACTCCACTCGAAATGCCAAATATTATATTATTTTATTATAATTTTAAAAGCAAATGGGGCTCATATGATGCATAAAGTTTTAAATGGGAGTAAATGATAGTGGGGTCCATGATTAAATAAATATTAAAATAATATTTGACATCAAGCTTTGTGATATGTTATTTTTGACATATCTCTTCCACCCTTCAAATCCATGTAGAATTTGACTACTCAGTTGGAGCAACTTTAACCTTCCATTTTTGCCATTTTATATCCATGTGGCAATTTAACATATTGATTGGAGATGCTCTAATAAGGTTTCCTTGTACATCGCAACAACCTCCAAATGGATGAAATTATCATCATGTCTTGCATGAAGAGTTTAATGCTCTTAGGTGTGATTTGAAATTTAAATCCTTCTAACTCATTGCATAGTTTTGTTTTTTTTAATGTGGAAAGAAAACTTTACAATTTGAACGGGTGATTTACAATTTGAACTTTTAACAACCTCTTCCAATCATGCGAAAGAAATTCAAAGTAAAAATAGAAATTTATATTCTAAAAGCATCTCCAGCAAGGTGCTAAATTCAAAATTTTAAGATCCAAACAATAAAAACTACCTCTAACTCATTTTCTTAGACATGCTAAATAGCCCATAAGTGTCAAAGAAAACATCCTATGCACACATAGTTCTTTGTACAGGGCATAACAATGAGCGTCAGAGCAAAGCCATCCTAAGCACCAAAACCATCTCCTTATCTCCTAATCCACCGACAAGTTAGGGGGAATCAAGATTGGCCTCTTAGCATGGCGAACTTCCAACAGAAGATCATCATAGTAGGAATGTTTATAGGATGCCAATTTTGAAAAATTAATGATTATATTTTGGGAATTAAAAAAAATCATTAAGGGCTCATCTCTGCTTCTTTTGAAAGCAGCTTTGGAAAGTAACCTAGAGCTTACTTTTAAATGCTTTTAAAAGGCCACCCCTTTTAAAATAATCGGGATATTTTATTTTTACCAAACACCTTAAACTGCTTAACTTTAAAGTGAAGCAGGTTTTTTATGAAAAAAAAAAAAAAAAAAGCAATCTCAAATTGGGCGGGGGGTGTATCCAATTCTAACTTTTAATGAGTTTAAAAGTCTGAAGGTATTCAATTGTGACTTTTAAATAGTCTTTAAAAGTTTTGTTGTATTCAATTGGGAGTTTTAAAGAGTATTTAAAAGTTTTGAGGTATCCAAAATGTTAATGACTTTTAAAGACTTTGTTAAATAAATGACTTTTCAATACTTTTAAAGTTAATTCTTCCTACCAAAAGTCTTAGTAATTTATGTCAGACTTTATATCGTATTGGGAAGTTGAGAAGATAGAAACAAAACGTCTCCAATTCTTTCCTCCCTCGTTATATCAAAGCAGCAAGCAGACTCTCATAAAAAATAAAAAAGCAACTAGCAGACAGATCTGTTTTCTTCAACTAGGGGCTCCACTTTGGTATACCATCTTGTCTCCACTTCCTCCAGGTTAGTAAAAACTCTTGGATGTTTTTCCTCCCTTCTCATCCACACGTTACTTTCCCTCTGTTGATGAATATTTCTTCTATTCTTTTCCTCATACTTGCATCATAAAGCTTATCAATATGTCATCACAAAGCTACGTTTGCATATAAATATTTTATTATACTGATTTTCTCATATGCTATGTTTGCATACAATATATTATTATATTATTTTTTGCCCCTAAACCCGTTAATTTATTATGTAGGTACTATTTCTTTACCCATTATTCGTTAGGTGGATAATTTTTTCATATAATATTCTCAATTTGATCACGTATTGGGCTAGGAGAATTGATGGAATATAGACTCTTGTAATCTGACCAGTTCTGTTGATTTGTGAGTGTGGACAAAAGTATATGAAAGTTTGTCACTCTAACTTTATAAAGTATGTAAAAGTCATTAAGAATCTGTCAACTCTAGAAAAGTTACTCACTTAAAAAAAGTATTTAAAAGTTAGAATTGGATACACCCCTATAAATCTTACCACTTGCATTAAGAAAAGAGCTGCTATTTCCACCCCCCAGTCTTATTTCCCCACCCACCTTATCTTCCCACCCACCATATAAATTTGAAAAAAACACAATCCTATTTTTACACCCACCATTATTCCTAAAATACCCTTTAATTATTAATTTAAGCAAATTCTCCTTACTTCCATTCAAAGCATGCTTGAAACCTTCAACCCATGTCAATCAAAATGCGTGGGATCCTCTGTAAAGTATTATTAAAAATAAAAAAAATAAAGAAAATCGCTCTCAATGTTCATCGTCTCTCCACCGAATGAAAACAATAACGGAGAGAAATGTTAGAATTACAAAGAAGACGAAGAGCAAACTGAGCAAATAGAACAGAAAGCTTGTGCCCTTGGGTTCAGAAACTGAGGAGAAATCTGAAGGAATTGGATTGGACCTAGTTGGAAATTTTGAAGCTTTATTGGAGAAGGGAGGGGTTGGGGTTTGACAAGGATGAAGGAGAATAGGTCTTTTTTTATTATCTTTAAGTCCTTAAAAGTCATTTTACAAATTGATAAATTTGTTTTTAAATTTTGAAGATAAGGTGGGTGGGAAAATAGGACAGGTGGGTGGACATTAATTAGTATCAAATTAAACTGATTAGCAAAAGATAGACATGAAATCTACGGTTCGCAATTAAAAAAGATAAAGAAATGACCAAATCACCACTTGTAATAAACAAACATATCAAAGAAAAGTGGCATTTTCGAGAATCTCCGAAAAGGCGATCCCTTTTTAATTTATGCCGAGGGAGCAAACGTCTATATAAGATATCATCACTTCAAGACTGAGCTCTCTCTGTGAGATTGAAAGAAAAGATATTTTCATCCTTGTGATCAGAGATGAACTGTCTTCAGAATCTTCCAGGGTCTGCCTTCAAATTCCAATCCAATTTCGAACACATAATTCAAAACAATTCCCAATTTTCTTTATCAATCAAATTAATTATTTTCTTTTTTCATTTTTCCAAATTCCAGATCCTCTGTTTTGCCTCTACGTAGCTTCAGATGCAATCGCAGAAAGCCTTCGTTCTGTATCACATCTCTGGTACACTCCTCTTTCGCCATTACACGCGTACTTACATATAAATACATATAAAATGTGTTCGTTTGTGTGAAATATTTTGCAAATTTTATTTTTTACGAATTTTTTTACTCAAATGCAGGGAATGACGAGTAGCACTGATCCGCCCCGACGTATGGCTGTCAAGGTAGATTAAGAATTTTAAGAATTCTGTGATTTTTGGACTGAGTATTTGCTTCAATTGTTTATTATAGCTTACGTGTGGATCTTATAAACCTATTTTCTTTATTGGGTTGTTTTGTTTCTGGGTATTTTGTTTTTCTTTCCTTTTGTGTTATTGACAACTCTGGTGTCTGGAAGATGGAAGTAGTAAAGTATGTATGCATCTTTTTGTCATTTGTAATTGAGCTTACCCAGCTGAATCATTTTCCCAATTCAGAGTTTGGTGCTTCTCAGAAGATAATTTGGAATGAATCACTCTAAATAACAGTCTGTTGTTACTGGTTTAAGGTTCTAAAGTAATTGGTGCTTTGTCATGGTTTAAGAGAAGTAGATAATGGATACATTTTCCTATTGTAAATTGATAATGGAAAGCACTAAGAAAGTAACTCACACATGCTGTCTTTCCCAGTTTCAGCATTTGGACTAAACTTGTAGCTCCTCCTAGTTATGCCATAGTACATGATATCGTACATTATGAGTTATGCTCATCACTACACATCGACAGTGGGAATTTATATGTACATTTTGCAATGATTTAACTTGTGCGTTTTACCATAATAATAATAATAATAATAATAATAAATTAAGGCTGAAAGTGGCCCAATTAAGTTAAGTAGTCAATATGTTTGTGTGTGTCTTTGAGTCTATGTGTTTTGCTGTGGAATGATTGGCAATGAGCAGAGTGCATGCCAGATCAGTTGTCTGATTTTTTAGTGAATTGTTGTATTGTAACTTGTAAGCTTTTATCGCCCTTGCTGCTTGTTGTGATTTGAATATTTCAAATGTATTTTTCTGTAGGCAATTTCTGGTTCCACGTCTAGTGCTGAGACGAGCGGTGCCAAGGCAGAAGAGGAAAAATCTGAGATGTATAGTACTAACATGACCGAAGCCATGGGTGCTGGTAAGTTAATCATGCATTTTTTATATGCCTGGCTCAGTATACTGAGAAACGAGATATTGAATGTATGATTTTACTGTTTTGGCAATCCGGATTAGAGGGCACATATTGTTTAGAATATAGATTGATTTCTTTTTGTATGTTGCTTTGTTTCTGTGATTGCAGCTAACCACTCTAGTCTCTTATATAACATTTTGATGCAGTCTTGACCTATAGGCATGAGCTAGGTATGAACTACAACTTCATACGTCCAGATCTGATTGTCGGGTCTTGCCTACAGGTGATCCTTGTTTCATAACCAGTCATTTGAACAAATATTATCCATTCTTAAAGTTCCCTAGTCTGATTGTTTCATTTTACTTCTCACCAGACTCCGAAAGATGTTGACAAGCTTCGAAGCATCGGAGTGAAGACTATTTTTTGCTTGCAAAAAGATTCAGATTTGGAGTATCCTGGAGTATTTTGAGACAACTGTGAGCAAAAATATTGCAAGCAACTGTGACAATTTATTGCAAGACTATAATGCTTTACTGGAAAAAAAATTATTGATGTGGTTCACTTCATTAGGCATGAGGTAATATTTGTAATGTGTTGGTCATTTGAGACGACTGTGACAGTTTAGTTTAGTTAGAAGAAAATTAAACTATAAATTCCTTAACCAGTTCTTCCAGATATTTTAGTGTTGACATTGGTGCCATTCGAGAGTATGCCAAAACATTTGATGACATTGAACACTTGCGTGCTGAAATAAGGTTAGTTATTTAAAATTAGTTGTTGATATATTTTTTTTTCCAGAATGAATTTCTGACATGGAAGCATGAGTTTGTTTGTCATTACTGAAAAGTAGAAGCAGTGAACTTTGATTTCTATTTCCCCTTCTGTGATTTCCTTGCCCATCTTGACATTGATTTTAACAAAAATATGATCAAACCATCCCTTTTTTTTTTTTGCTCTGTTTGGAGAGCAATTCAGTAGCTACCTTATAAACTTTCACTTACAGTTTTCTTTTTTCCATTACTAAATTACTAAATCATTCCTCTGGGGAGGGTCTGTGTATGCACACATTCAATATACTTGCTTCATTATAATGTTTGATGTTGCAGGGATTTTGATTCATATGATCTACGTCTCCGGCTTCCTGCTGTCGTTAGCAAATTATATAAGGCCATAAACCGAAATGGAGGTGTCACTTATGTGCATTGCACTGCTGGACTTGGAAGAGCTCCTGCTGCTGCGGTATATTGTTAACCTTGTATTTAAAATTAATGGTATTTTACCCAGATTTTGAGCAAACACTTTATGGAACTCATGAAGTTCAACTCTCCCTCAAATTTGTGTTATGTGCTTGTGTTATGCAGGAACTAGGGGAAATGTTTTTGTAAAGTAACCTAAAATGTGGGAGTATTTTTGGTCAAATGAAAATCATGTATTGTAGTAACTAACCTATGGGCAAGGGAAAATGACATACTTTTTAGTAAACTAACCTATGTGCGAGCCAAAAATGAGGGAGTATTTTTGGTTAAAAGCATAACATTGATATTTGCCAAGCTAATTCCTCTACCGCAGTGTACCCATGAGACCGCTTGTGTATTGTCTTTGTAGTTGCTCATGTTGCTCTGCAGCTAAATATTTAGCTTTACTATTAGAAGATCCGTGGAGCTGACAGTTTCTTGAGATCTCTGTACTGATTGCTGCCAGTCCCTCCAGTCTTTACAAACTTAAATAATAAAAATTATTGATGATTATTTCCTTTTTCATTTTCTGTTTCCTGCAAAAAAATTATCTCTTATTTACCAATTTATATGCTACCTCTTTGAGTTATAAATACCTAGATAATGTTAAGTGTATTATTACAAACTTGTTTAGGGTCTCCCCAACCACCTGGTACAAGGTAGTCGTAAGGAATATTACATTTAATTTGGTGGACAAGAATAGCAAGTCGCTGCTGCCTTGTTGAAGTATGAATATTTTTCTGTAACCATATCAATGAGGTTGAAGCTGATTTATGATTAGTGTTAGAAATATTTGTCAATGCATTGACATTTGTTCACATCTGAGAACCTCAGCTTCTCTTATATTTTTTTTACTACATCTTTGTACTGGTCTAATGGCTTTCTGGTGTACTTAAATAATTCAAAAGTGAATGCAATATAAGCTCATTCTCTTGCCCATATCACACAATAGTTTCCAATAGACAATGAATGATTTATTTCCGAATATTTGGTAAAATGCTATTGTACTCAGTCAAGAGTTAAGTAAATTTTGTAGAAAATTATTCAAATCATACGAAGCCAACAACAATAGACAGGTATACATAGATAAATGGATATCAGAATAGTCTTGACTATAAGAGAAACGAATGAGAAATGTTGAGAGGGTTCTCATAACTCACAACTTCAAATTTATTTAAGTTCCAGCTTGCGGTTACTTTCATTTCATATGCTTGTTTAAGCAGATCAATCTGATATGTTGTTTCTCTTTTCAAAACTGTTCTGAAATGTGTTATGGTGGCAGTTGGCTTACATGTTCTGGGTACAGGGATACAAGCTGACAGATGCTGTCAATCTACTGTTGGTAATTTTCTGTTTCGTTGACCTATTCTGATGTGCACAATATATCAATACATCATCATGTTGTTAGCCCATGTGCATTTTATTTAGCTAAAATGAAAGTTTTAAGTTATTTATCAAAAAAGAAAATAGGAAAAGAAAGAAGGATGCAAGAAATTTAATTTTGGATTCACGAAACTATGGCAGAACCTTGAACGTCAAGTTTCAAAATCAATCATGAATTTTATGCAGTTGTATGACATTGCTATTTTTCGGAAGAAAAAAGTTAAGAAAGTTTGTATCAGTGGTATGACAGCTAACTCAAGCAATGAGAAAGTGGGCCAATGTAATGCATAAATAAATATGGATCTTCGCAATGTCTCAAAAGTATCTCACTCTAAATTTAATGCAGAGCAAGCGATCGTGCTGCCCAAAACTGGATGCTATTAAAAATGCTACTGCTGACATTGTGAGTCTCTTTTTTCCTTTACTGTTATTTCATATGAATTGTTTCTTAAAAAGTCTGTTCTCATTACCAGTTTCTCACATGTATAAATTTTCAACTTGAAAAGATGATGATATAGTAGTACAGTTTCGGGATGCATGCTGTTACTTGATACAGTTTGTTGAAATTCTGCCATATTGGATGGGATTCTGAAATTATCTACTACAGTTTTCCTCACATGAGCATGATTTTAGAAAGTTCTGCCTAGATATTCCTGTTTTAGGTTCTTCAACATGCTTTCCTTTTCTCCTTTTGTCAGCTTCTTTTTGTCCTTTGTCTCGATAGTGTTGGTGGTCAGATCATCTATATGTAACAAAATGTTGGAATTATGACAGTTCTGGGTATTTTTTTTCATCTCATTAGTGATAAAAACTGCAGCAGGGGAGGTATTTTCCTCCTTGTTTGTTTCTTTTATGTTTCTTCGTACCGATATCTAAATATATTTTCTTATTCACCAAGAAAAGAAAAGTAAAGAATGGTGGAGATGTGAAGACTTTAGATTTCCAAATTTGACTCTAGTTATTCATTGTAATACCTGACATAGTTACCTAGAATGAACTTACGTATTGAACTAAAAGGAAACTGATCTAAAATGAAGTAAATTTTAATAGATCTAATATTTGTCTTCTTTTGTCAGACTCATAAAAAAGGAATTTATTGCAAACTCATGTGTCACGTATCTTCTCATTTGAAGCTTACAGGCATGGCAAAAAGGCTTGTCACGTTAACTTGGGGAAATCATAATTGCACTACAGTGGAAATCTCTGGACTCGATATTGGATGGGGTCAGGTAACGATCTTTTTATTTCAACCTTAAGTGCATAGGCAGACTTCTATGCTTGCTATAGCTTCAAATTATGATTTTAATCTGTAGCATATGCTACCTGTAAATATGAAGTATGGACTTTTTCGATCAATGATGTTCTCTTGTGATGCTTGTACAGAGGATTCCTTTAGAGTTCAATAAGGAACAGGGTTTGTGGATTCTCAAGAGGGAATTGCCGGTAAGCATTTGTCTGAATCAAAAGTATGCTTATGTTTGACCTTCTCAGGTTAACATGGATCATCAACTTATCATTATAGCAAAGTCTAAATATGTTTGTCAATTAATAGGGAGATAATTCCATCTATAAGTAAGCCATGCTGACTTGAAAAAGGATTGCATAAGATTCAAACATAGAATGTTGCATGTGTTGATCAATTTCTTGAAATAAACTCGTGTTGCAGGAAGGACGATATGAATATAAGTACATTATTGATGGTGCATGGATGCATAACAAATACGAGCTTTTCACCTCTCCCAACCAGGATGGCCATGTCAACAATTATGTTCAAGTAAGGTTCAGCTTTGAGTCTTGAATTTGTAAATTATTAAAGAAAAAGAGGCAAAAAAATGTATATATGACAATACATCATGGAAATTGGAATTAAAATTATTTATATAAAAAAAAGAATGTAGCAAATAATGTGCCGCATAATTTTTGGGAATAGGAATCTTGGCTTCTCCTGGTGAACAGATTCTAATTGCCCCCATGTTTTGCATCCGAAACGAAAAAAGTTGCACCATGTTTCTTCTCATTTGTTGAGCTTTTCCTGCAGGTTGTTGAGGATGATCCTGACAGTACTAGTGCTGCAATCCGGAAGAAGTTGACTGGTGAAGATCCTCGTCTTACAACCGAGGAACGACTTAAAATAAGACAGTTTCTTGAAACGTGTCCCGGTGATGAGTGAACTGCGAAAGGGCAATACAAATTGTCTTAGCATGTAAAGTAGTAACTGTACCGGTTCCCTAGCATGACATGGTAACATGTATGAAATAATTGTGGTATAGTATATACCAAGAAATAGGAAATAATTGTGATATAGTTAACAATCAATAAATATAAGTTCCTATTTCAGCAACAATTTAAGAATAGAGAAATCATAATTTGACCATTAGTGGAATTTGATGAGGAATGTCTAAAAAACTTTGACGCATGAGAGAAACTTTATTAATCAAAAAAATCAAGAGTCCAAATTCTTTCTTTCTAACGAATATTTTTTGGTTATGCATAATCTAGAATTTGAGTGTTGGTGTTCTTAACTATTTGAGGAACAAAATGTTGACATAGGAAAGAAAACTAACTATTTAGCCACCTCATTAAAAAATTTACAATATGTCAAACTACTACCGAATCCGGATCCTCATCTTAGATTCTCTCGTTCATGATCTACTTGAATTCTTCTCTCCATATGCCACCTCATTAAAATTTGACCCAACAGATTGAAATTTTTTCATAATTAAAAAGAAAAGAAAAACTCTAATTGAACTTAACGATTTGAACCTTGACTCCTGCTATCGTTTAGGGGTTTTGTTTTCTTTCTACTTCCTTTCTCTTCAACCTCTCCCCCTTTCCTGTTGTTTTTGTCCGCAACATCTCCCCCAATTAAATTTGTGTTTTGGTCAGTATTTCCCCCAATCAGTTTAGTCTTTTTTTTTGCCCCCAATTATATGAATACATCAAGCCTAATTATGGCAGGAAAATATTATATAATATGCAGTATCTTTAGTCATATGTACAGAGATTGAAATCCTTGTACTACAAGGAAGCTAATTATGAGGAGAAGAATCCCGTCTTGACCGAGGTTTGTGTGTTGTACAAGGAAACAAATCAGGAATAAAATATAACTATACGGAAAGTCAAGGAAAAAATTGGGGAACCATAGAACCTAGTGTAATTAATTAGGAGAATGAGAAATAAACATTTATTAGGGTTTTGGACGCGTTGAATTAAAATCTTGGGAGATATATCTATTTGACTCTGCTTGTATTTGCATATAAAAAGGGATGTCCGGATAAGCAAGTGAAGACACATAGCATAGCCTATCCAGTCCCTATAATTATACTCCAACTAATAATATTTTACATACTTTTGTTGAAGAGAATGAGGCACATCAACTGCAACAACGAGACGGAGAAGCCAAAGCTGAACTTGATGACAATCGGTGCCCTACTACCAGAAATTCTTATTGACATCCTTTCGAGACTGCCTGTCAATTCGATTTGTTGCATGAAATGTGTATCTAAGGCCTTTTTAAAGATGGTTGACGACCCCTCTCTTGCCACAATGCACATGCGGCGCCGTTTTCTAACTACTTGTTCCACTACTACCACTGAAGTTCCTCGACTTGTTGTTCTTGATGAGTCTCCCTATCATAAACAAAACGTGTTGTATCCATTGAAATATGATGGTAACAACTTATTGACCAAGAGCAAACATGCAATTGTTTCATATTTCGGATCTAGACAACGTTTTTATTCACATGCCTTTGTTTTCTGCAACTTGTTTGGCTTTACTGGTCTTAATCCAAAGCATGGAAGGTCATGCTTGTTGGTGAATCCTTTCAAGGGAGAAGTTCTAATGCTCCCATTCGCAAGAGACGTCCCAGTTCCAGCCAATAGTTTTTGCAATGTTGATTGTTATGGCATGGGATTTGATAATATAACCAACAGCTTCAAGATTGTTCGCGTTTCCATCAATAAAAATGACTACAACATGGTGTCCGAAGTTCTTGTATTGGGGATAGGGGTGAGCATCGGGTCGAAACCAATGCTTTCTTAACAATCCAATCCAATCCAATTTTTCATTGGATTACAGATTTTACAATCCAATCCAATATAATCAAATATTAGGATCCAATCCAATCCAATTTTTCATTGGATTACAGATTTTACAATCCAATCCAATATAATCAAATATTAGGATCCAATCCAATCCAATTTTTCATTGGATTACAGATTTTACAATCCAATCCAATATAATCAAATATTAGGATCCAATCCAATCCAATTTTTCATTGGATTACAGATTTTACAATCCAATCCAATATAATCAAATATTAGGATCCAATCCAATCCAATTTTTCATTGGATTACAGATTTTACAATCCAATCCAATATAATCAAATATTAGGATCCAATCCAATCCAATTTTTCATTGGATTACAGATTTTACAATCCAATCCAATATAATCAAATATTAGGATCCAATCCAATCCAATTTTTCATTGGATTACAGATTTTACAATCCAATCCAATATAATCAAATATTAGGATCCAATCCAATCCAATTTTTCATTGGATTACAGATTTTACAATCCAATCCAATATAATCAAATATTAGGATCCAATCCAATCCAATTTTTCATTGGATTACAGATTTTACAATCCAATCCAATATAATCAAATATTAGGATCCAATCCAATCCAATTTTTCATTGGATTACAGATTTTACAATCCAATCCAATATAATCAAATATTAGGATCCAATCCAATCCAATTTTTCATTGGATTACAGATTTTACAATCCAATCCAATATAATCAAATATTAGGATCCAATCCAATCCAATTTTTCATTGGATTACAGATTTTACAATCCAATCCAATATAATCAAATATTAGGATCCAATCCAATCCAATTTTTCATTGGATTACAGATTTTACAATCCAATCCAATATAATCAAATATTAGGATCCAATCCAAGCCAATCCAATGTACATGGGATTGGATTGGATTGGTCGGTTTTAGCGGATTGGTTTGGATCCTGCACAGCCCTAATTGGGGACAAGCTCATGGCGGTCGTTACCCACAGTTCCTCCCTGCTTTCCTACAAGCAAGTCCGCATATGCACATGGAGACATGCATTGGTTGGTTTATGGAGATTGTGCATTGTTTGTACGTATACTTTCTTTCGATTTTAAGAAAGAAGAGTTCTATTGGACGCCACATCCCGCCCCCTTGGGGAAAAAACCAGGTCTTTGGAAATTTCTTCACTTGATTAATTTCAAAGGATCTTTGGCCCTAGTGAATGTTTTTTCACCAGAAGATGAACATATGACAACATTTGAGACAAGACAATATATTGAGATATGGGAATTGAAAAATTACGAAGTCAAAGAGTGGGTCCTAAATTATAAAATAGATTCAGAACAATATCTTTTTATATCTTGGGAGCCTGCTAGTTTTTTCAGGTGCGGAGAATGGGAGCACGGCATATTTTTCAATCAGGAGAGTTGCCCCAATAACTGCATATTCTTTGTGGATCTAAGACAAGTTTCCATGAAGTGTATACTACTCAAAGGTGAAATTACAATCCACAGATGTATCGACAGCATGATTTCTCTAAACAGTTATGGAGATTTGATTGAAGCAGAAGAAGAACAAGGTAATACTGAATTCCCCATGTCCCGTAAAACTTGGGGGAATCTGATTAACTCTGCTGAAGAAAGTGGGAGAGATTTTTGTTACTTGAAAGCACAGAAGGAGTCCCCATCCATTTCTTGGGATCGCAATAGCATTTATTTTTAAGAGTTATAAGCACAATGATAAAGAGCTTTCAATTTTACAAGTCAATGTTCCAGCTTACTTGTTCACTGGGAAGGGAAGAAGCTAAACCGTGTACAGGGGAAAGGGGGTAATTGTGATTATGGTTTAGGGGAGGTATTTTCCTAAACTACCTAGAATATGTTTTCAACTGCTGTAGGGGAGGTATTTTCCTGCCTCGTAATTTTTTATTTTCTGTTTCTCCGTACCGATATTTAAATAAATTTTCTTATTCACCGAGAAAAGAAAAGTAGAGAATGGTCGAGATGTGACGACTTTAGATTTCGGACTTTGACTCTAGTTATTCATTTTAATACCTAGAATGAAACTGATGTTTTTGGTTTTTCAATTCATAGGGAGATAATTTCTTGCACTGCTGCAGGAAACTGATGTTTTTGGTTTTTTTTGTTACAAATAACTCAAGAAAATGCCAGATATATTTTATTTTTAAAAAATTTATGTAGCAAATAATGTGCTTTGTAATTTTTGGCAATAGGAACCTTGGGTTCTCCTGGCCAACAGATTCTAATTGCTCTTACTGTAAAATGGCATCCATGTTTTCCATCTGAAACGAAAAAAGTTGCACCATGTTTCTTCTCATTTGTTGAGCTTTTCCTGGAGGTTGTTGAGGACAGTACTAGTGCTACAATCCGGAACAGGTTGACCGGTGAAGATCGTCATCTCGCAACCGAGGAACGACTTAAAATAAGACAGTTTCCTGAACCTTGTCCCGGCGATGAGTGAACTGCATAAGGGCAATACAAGTTGTCTTAGCAAGTAAAGTAGAGACTGTACCAGTTCCCTAACGTTAGTATGAAGTAATTGTGGTGCATTATGTACCAAGAAAGAGGAAATAATTGTAATACAGTTAACCTTGGCCCCAATTGCATCCATCCTATAGAAAGCAAAAGTCAAAATTCTTTCTTATTATCTAAAGAACTTGCAGACCATGGCATTTCCGCATCATGATATTAAATTGTTTTAGTAAAATGCTAATTATTTTATCAACTATTTTTTTGGGTTATACATAATCTCGATTTGAGAGTTGGTCTTCTTAACTATTGGAGGCATCAGCCTATATCATATTTGGGTTGGGTTTAGTTCCACAAAATGTTGACATATGAAAGAAAACTATTAACTATTTAGGGCCCGTTTGATATCCTATTTGGATCCAATTTTATAAACTCAAAAACAGATTTGCCTTAAAAAGCTGTTTGGTAGGCCCATTTTTAAGAACCCAAACCCAAAAAATAATCAAAAACACCCCTATTATTATTATTATTTTTTTTTTTGTCAAGGGAACTGTATTCATTAATAGTGGGAAACATTACAAATTGAGGAAACTCATTTCAAAATGCAGCCCAACACCAACAAATAAAGCAGGCCCAGAGAAACATAACCTAATAAACACAAAAGCCCATACAACATTAACAAAGAAACCCTAGATCTAGAAACACAGGAGCAGCCTATTATTAAAAACACCCCTATTATTTAAAACTAAAAAAGTGAGGTTTTGTAGTTTCTCTCTCTCTCTCTCTCTCTCTCTCTTGCGCACCATCAAAATTGATTGGGTTTATGTCTCACATCTTTTTCCTTTTTCTTTTGTTAATTTCAATTTTTTTTTAGATCTTAAAAATAGTTTGGAGTTCAATACCAAACAAGTTTTTAGATCTTAAAATTACTATTTGAAAACTCATCATGTTTTTAAAAAGAATCATAATTTTTCAATTTACTTTTTTGAGTAGGATACCAAACAAGGCCGATCGATAAGTCAAATCCTACATGAATTTGATAAGAGCAATGCCAATTTGACATCCTATAAAGCTTGTTGTCAAATGTTATTTAATATTCTTTCAAGTATGGGCTCTATTACTTACTTTATGTTGGTTGTTTGTCACTGCTAACAAATAATAACATCTTACCATTTTCTTAATTTCAAATCTCTTTTTTTTATCTTCTTAATTTACATTTTACCATTTTCTTAATTGCAAATCAAAGCAAAGGATACAGTTACTTTAAAAGGCTATATTAAGTGTACTCCCTTGTATAAATCAATTACATATTCATATGAATACATCAAGCCTAATTATGGTAGGAAAATATTCTGTACAGAGATTGAAATCCTTGTGCTACAAGAAAGCTAATTATGAGGAGAAGAATCCGGTGTTGACCGATTTGTGTGTTGCACAAGGAAAGCGTCATACTTCTTTTGACAAGTATGCTAGTTCGCCCAAAAAAATATCAGTGTACGGCAGGTCAAGGAAAAAATTGGGGAACCATAAAGCCTAGTGTATGATAGGATTCCAAGGGTGTTTTAGTCTTTGTAATCTTGCCAACCTACTATATTAGGAGGTTAGTCAGCATTAGTTGGGATGTTGAATTGTATTGTGTTTTGAGTAATAAAATAGTATATTCTCTGTGCATTTTGGGTTAAGGTCGAACAGGGTTCTAACAGTGTAATTAATTAGGACAATGAGAAATATGCATTTATTAGGGATTAGAACGCATTGGGAGATATAGTTGTCAAAGAAAATCTTGGGAGATGTCACTGTCAAAAAAAAATCTTAGGAGATATCTATTTGACTATGTACTTGTATTTGCATATAACTAGGGAAGGCCGGATGAGCAATTGAAGACATATAGCACAGCATATTCAGTCCCTACAATTATACTCCAACTAATAATATTTTACATACGTACTTTGTTGAAGAAAATGAGGCGCATCGACTGCAACAAGGAGAAGCCAGAACTGGACTTGATGGCAATTGGCGCTCTACCACCGGAAATTCTTATTGACATCCTATCGAGACTACCCGTAAATTCGATTTGTTGCATGAGATGTGTATCTAAGGCCTTTTTAAAGACGGTTGATGACCTCTTTCTTGCCACAATGCACATGCGGCGTTGTTTTCTAACTACGTGTTCTACTACTACCACTGAAGTTCCTCGACTTGTTTTTCTTGATGAGCGTCCCTTTCTTAGATATGCCTTGTTGTATCCATTGAAATACGATGGCCACGACTTATTGACAAAGAGCAAACAGGCAATTGTTTCCTATTTCGGATCCAGACGGCGTTTTTATTCTGTTGCTTTTGTTTTCTGCAACTTGTTTGGCTTTACTGGAAAGTCATGCTTTACTGGTCTTAATCTGGAGAGATCATGCTTGTTGGTGAATCCTTTCAAGGGAGAAGTTCTAATTCTCCCATCAGTGAGTAACGTCCAAGTTCCATCCAATAG